CTACGCATCAATACAAAACAAATTAAATATATGTATTTATATACAAAACAATTATTTTGAATACTTATTGCATGTTATGCATGAAATGATAACTCAGTAGTCTTGCAAATATTAAAAATGTATTTTGATAATTTAATTTGAAATTGCATATAACTTGTTTAGAATGAACTAGAACATAAGACATATGCATACACATTATTTGTTAAGTTTAAGCACTGTTTTAGATAACGTGCATTTAACTCTTACTCAGTCACTGTGCTGCTTGACAGCATGTACCGATCGTTATATATCGATAGTTTCTTTGCTATTCACAGTGCGCCAAAGCGCGATAATTCAAAAACGAATTTGATAAGTAATTGCAAAGTAAGCAAAAATTTGTGCTAAAATGATTATATTTTCACTGTTCTCCATATAGATCGACCCAATTAAATATTAAATATGTGTCTTAAGCTCAAATACAAATGAACTTGCGCTTTCATTTCTTTCATTTATTATATATATTTATATATATTTCACTTCATTTATTTATTTATATACATATATATATGTATATGTTTGTACAAATGTGACAAATAATTAAAACTTATTTGTCGTGCATCGTGTATATTTTTCTCGTGCTTTCCCCAATGCAATCAGAGCAGATTCGACATTGATTACCTCGCAATGCGCTAAATGCAACGTCATCGTTGGGTAAAGGGGTGGAGGCGGGGTGTCTTCGGTTTGGGGTCTGATTATGCAAGTGCCAAGTGCCCCAGCATAGAAAGTTCGTTAGCCGTAATAAACAATTCACGTCGTAAACCAGATTCACGCTCTGCTTTGACTTGTTGTGTGGATTACGCACGATTACATTTAGTGGGTCAGCGGAGAGGCTTTTAAATACAGTATACCGTATATGTAGTATGCGACGCTTTATGGATCATAAAACTCATTATCTGCATTTTCACTTTTCGCTAGCCTACAATCTTCTTCATTTGTTATTTTCAAGTAAAACATTTCAACGGATTTAAATGTATCAACCCAAAAATATACATAAATGAAAAAACGTTTATAAAAATATAAATGAAAACTTACATGATATTTAAAATGATATTAAAAAATAAATAGCGTTTATGTTAAGGTTTAAAGAAAAGTGTGGAGTTAAAATAATCAAACATTAGGAATTATGAAAACACAGCAAAAAAAAGACCAACAAATTTGTAAACAGTATTAATCTTTTTCTTTAATTAAATTAAATATATTATACAATAATATATTTAAGAGTCTACAACTCTTTTAGTAATTTAGTAATAACGAAAGTAAATTTTGAAGAGAAATAAAGAGTTATATAGGAAATAAGGAAGCGGCAGGAAAGCTTATAGAACCGGACGAAAAGTACATACTTCCGAGTTAAGCCAGATACAAAATTAAGGGAAGAATACATGTATCAGAATAACAAGGTTATATTTAACGGTTATATTTAAATTCAACATATCGTGTGCAACATGGATGCAAATATAATCTGTAGGATCTGAAGTTTAAGTTGAAGTAATAACAATTTGTGAAGTGTTGTTGACAACCCTGTTCAATATCAACCAAAATTGGTTTAACCAGAAATCCTCTGTTTATTTGTGTTTTTTCTCCTCATACTTTTCTTTTGTTTTCTTAATGATCTTGATGAGGTTGGATATAAAAAAATTCCACAACTCTCTCTTCCTATCTGTCTCACTCTCTTTCTCTGTCTCCCTCTCTCTCTCTCTGACTCTACGTTTTTGGGGAGTTGTTATTCTCTTCTGGCGTCATTGTCATTGTAGTCGTCATTATATCGTCTCGTCAATCTCATTCGCAAATTAAATTTTGTTTACGCAATTGCAATTGTTTTTCATGCACACCAACAAAAAGAATAAGAACAACAACAACAACCACAACGTAAGCAACAATAACATAAAACATACAACAATAGCTCGCCAAGTGTTTTTTTTTTGTAAGCGTTAATGGTTTTTCTGTTGACTTTTTAGTGCTGTGCCCCCAAATGGGGCGTGCTCTTTGTGTAGCAAAACATTGAACTATGCTGTGTCCGGAATTTGGCACCACTCGAACCAACCAGAACCCGACCCCCATCTCCTCCCCCTCCGCTCGGGCACCCACTCCCAATGGTTACTAACATATGTATGTGCCACATCTCAGTCAGACAACTGTCATTAAATAGTTTGCTTGTTTTTCTTTTCAACTTCTTTTTTTGTGTTTGTTGTTTTTGCTTTTTATTTTAACAAACAAAAACTGTTCAATTAGCAGTTTGACTGCACAAAAATACACACACACACACACACACACGAACACACCGTCCGAAATACAATAAAAATGTTGTGTTTTTGTTTTTGGCTTAATGGAAAAAAACAAAAATCATCTTACAATGGGTTGTGGCTGCTGGGCTTTTTGGGATTTCGGGCATAAATGCCATGTGAAACTGGCGCCTCATTATTTTGCTCATATTCATCGGAGGTCATGTGAATCAGTTGGACAAACACACACAATTCACAATTGCACTGACAGCAACTGTGAATTAGGCGCCGGACAGTTGTTGTTGTCGTAGTTGTTGTTGACTTGGTCTTTCAGCTCTGGTATTCTAAGCTGATGAGCTTAATTAGATTAACCATTAAAATATTTTGAAAACCATATCACAAAAAGAAAATATTCAAACACTTTTCCCATGTGCCTGCCAAAGTGCATGCTAGTTGACAATAGACAATTAAGCACCTGAACTAGCCGATAAACTGCTGACAATTATTTCCCAATACAAGCCCAAACATACTTTCTTTAAGTTGAAGAGCATTTAGACTTGCTTAAAGTCTTGCAAATATTTACCAGCTGTATGAGAAATTTAAAATTAGGTTTGACAACATGTTAAAGTACATGTAAACTTTGACAATAACATGCGCAAATGGGATTAACAATCTAAAGTAGAACCTGCCAAAGTACTGAAAAGTTGTTCGATAAAGATTGAATAGCTGGGAACTTGACCACATTGAGCCACAACACCAGCGTCACTTTAGGCCCAACGCAGAAAACAGGGCATAAATAATTACAGGTTTAATCTCACGGCACAACACCTACAAATCATCAGAGAGAGAGAGAGAGAGAGAGAGAGAGGAAGAGGCACAGAGCTCCTTTTGCACCACCTTTTGCGCCACCATTGTAAGTCTAATGGCATTTTAACGTCAGACGTCGTGGACAATCGACCCTCTCTCTCCCCAAACCACTCCCCCTGCTGTCGAACACCCCCAGCATGTAATGTGATGGGGGAGGGGGTTGGGGACGCTGGTTGTTGCTCAAAATCCACATTGAATTAATGCGAGTGTGGAATGTGGCTTAGCATGAGCGGGCGTTGAGGAGGAGGGTTAGGATGAGGTTCACGTTGAGACTGAAGAGGTGGCGCATGTTGCTAATGTGGCGCTTATTAGCGGGCGAGTAGCAACCAACTGTAGTAAAATATACGCATCTCTCTCTCTCTCTTTCTATATCTCTCTATCTCTCTTTCTCTATCAAGTTTGGAACGTGGCTAATCCACTGGAAACATCATTTTGAGCACCTGTTTAATTGCGTTAATCACCGGGAGCAAACATTATTGCCATCACCTTAGCAGTCCTTGTTGTTCCAATTCCGAATTGCTGCTGATGATGATGATGTCCAGCAATGGAGCTTATAAAGTGGCGCCACCGTTGAGCGATTCACATTAGAATGTTAATTTGATGGGTCTGTGGGGCTCAGGTGGCCAAAAGTACTATTTTTGGAGTCGTTAGCCATGAGGTTAATGTCTCACTTTAAGATGCAACAACTACTTAGTGCCACTTGAGCATTCCATTGCTTTAAACTAACTACAAATTACATCAAATAATACCACTTTCACATTTGAAGGGCCAACTTAAACAGACGATACGAATTGACACTAAACTGCACTAGAGCAAAGGGATGTGCAATCAAAATGAGCTAAATATAATCAGAAACGATTTAAGCAATCCATAGAAGACAAAACATTTGGGATATTTAGCGGTCTTTAAGTTTTAATCAGTACCTGAATCTTTCGAAAAGAAAACCCTCCTGGACATTTTAACGGATTGTGTCGCCTTAGTCACAAGTATATGAAATATCCTAGGGAGACATGTCATAACCTCGGAAGACAAAAAAACCTACAATTCGTCAAAAATGCTTAAGTTCTTAAAAAGAATCAAGAAAGAAGCACAATATATGTAACTGGGATATTAATATTTATAACAATAATAATAATAATAATACAAATAACATGGGAGAAAAAAAAAACATAAAATTCATATTTTAAATATAAGAAAAGGTCATTAGTTCCAGTATGAAATTAAAACTGTGTTAAGTTCCCGCGTAGAGTGATCATTGTGAGCATAGAAAGACAAGCAGTTTTATGGCATAAGGATTAGGAACTAAGATTATGTAAGCCTTTGGAAAGGAAGCGTTATCCATTTTTTCAGGTTATTGTTCAGGTATTTTGGATCTCGTGTTTTACAACTAAGGTTCAATATATATGGATCGTTAATAAAGCAAGTATAAACAATGCTAATATAGAGTCTACACAGCTTTTTAGATCGATTTACAATAACAGGTGTATGGGTTTTGAGAGTCGGCGTAGGCGTAGCCATTAAATTGTTAATCGATCTATTGGGTGAGTTACCAGTAACATACATTCCAAATTTGGTGAATCTCTCGAGGTCTGAAAGCTAATATGCTGATATTTGTAGGAGGTAGCAAGTTACCTTCCAAGTTTGGTCACTCTATCCTTAAAATTGTGGGAGATGTGCGGATTTATCGATTTACACTTTCCGAAATATAGGTATTGGAGCTTATGGGCCCAGGTGTAGGCGTGGCCATGAACATTTATTCTCGGCTCTTAAAGACAGCTACCAGCTACCAAATTTGTCGGCTCTAACTCAAAAACTGCGACCTTCGGTGACAGAGTATAGAAAAGTACGCCTTGAAATTTGCCTACCTTATTTTGACTACAGATTATTACATTCACAGGTAGATATTTTTCAAGCAATGCAAAAGTGATTTGCGACAATAACAATGGCAAACAACTTGTCTATCAAGTTACTGATGCTGGGCGATTCGAGTGTGGGCAAAACGTGCCTGTTGCAACGCTTCACGGAGAATTGCTATACGGGCCAATACAAGTGCACGGTGGGCTTGGATTTGAAGGTGCACACCGTTGAGATCGGCGGCAATAGGGTGAAGCTGCATATATATGATACAGCCGGTGCGGAGCGCTTCCGGTCCATGATGAGCTGCTATTATCGACACGTGGACGGCATCATTCTAGTATTCGATTTGACGAATCGGCACAGCTATCGGCACGTGAGCTACTGGCTCGACGAGATTCGGAAGTATGCCACGGGCAATATACACCTGATGCTGGTGGGCAACAAGTGTGATGAAGATGGGCGACAGGTGTGCCAAGACGGGGCTGCCAGCTACGCCAGCAGTCTGGACATGCCCTACATGGAGGCATCCGCCATGACTGGCCATAATGTGGAGCGTCTGTTTTTCAAACTGGCGGTTAGCATATACGACGAGGTGCACATGAAGCAACATAAAGTGGACAAGCAATGCCCAGATGATGACAAGCATTCAGTTATACTAAGGCGGAACTCAGGTCTACGCAATTTTTGCTGTTGAGCTGCATTAATGCCTTTTATGTTATTTGTTTTCAAACTAAGCAACACACACACCCCTACAAATACACACACACACACACACACACACATATAGTGTACACCCTCGCGCAATCAAATCATCTTCCAATTGTCGTCCGGCTGCAATTTGTATGAGCTTACTTTGATGTCATCCTCATCAGCAAACCATCCCGCATCTCCCATCCCCCATCCCCCATCCAAGCCGCTGACCAGGTCGTTAAAGTGGACGTCTAAGCCAAAACTCAGAGCAACAAAATGTGGCAACTATGTTACACTTCAGTTAACAGTTGTTTGTATTGTACAAGTTTCAACAATTTATGTGCCCTAATCTTAGATGTAGTTGTAATGTTATCACAAGAAATACAGATTATTTACTGAATAACAATACTAATATTAATTGTGGCTTTCATACATCATATATATATATTAATATATATAAATAAATAAATATATATATATATATATATTTATTTATTATTCGTCCTTTGCAACTGTAGCTAATCGATCATTAGTTAATCTCGTTGTGAAAAGGTTTAGCAATTGGCTTCAAACCTCTAATAAACAAAGTGTGGTTGAAAAGACTAAGCCCGGCTTCTAGTCTAAATATATTAAATAAAGTCTATAAATTTCGCCCAGCTGAGCATCCCGGCAACAAGCGCAGCAGCGCGGGCTCGAGACGCCAATCATACTCTTTGGGGGGTAGCGTCCACACTACAGCCACAAAGAAGAGTGTCCATAAACGAACAATCGGCACCGACTACGTCCCAGGAATACCCCAAAGTGGCGAAACAAGTCCGCGAACGGAATATTCGTTTCGACGGCACCACCAAGCCTTTGGAATTTCTGGAACAAGTCGAATGGTCAGCAGATACTTATGGATTGAACCTGAATTTAATTCCCAGGGCCATGCCCAAATTAATTCAGGGAATGGCTCTTAAGTGGTACATAGCCAACAACCAGCACTGGACAAGATGGGTAGTATTCATCCAAAGTTTTCGGGAGTATTTCCTTCCAAGAGACTACTTCGAAAACTTGAAGGACGAAGTTACACGAAGACGGCAGGCGATGCACGAACCGCTTGAAGTGTATATGGTGGAAATGCGAAATGCAGACGCTCATGCGGCCACTGCAGTATTCGGCGGAAAGAGAACTAAATAAAATATACAACAACAGCCTCCCCCAACAGCCTCCCTCTAGCGAGGGCATGCAGATTTTGCGGCCAGGAGGGACACTTCGCAATTGAGTGTACGAATCCTATGCTGGAATATTGCTGGCTATGTGGATGTATCGGAGCTCGTACGTCAGTATGTTGTCCGTCGGGAAACGGACACCGGCGTCCGCCACCGAGGGGCGAGCGGGAGCCGAATAGAACAGCCCCAAGACGCTAATCGGAAGCCTTCAGGACGAGGGAGCGCAGCTGACAGAGGTCGTAGAGATCGGCAACTGTCGGTATAAGGCTACGTTTGACACAGGGGCCACGAGTAGCTTGGTTAGCGAGAAGCTAGCTTATAGGCTGATCAACGTAGGCCGACGAAGCGCAACCGAACGTTCAGTCCGGATGGCAGATGGCCGAAACAGCGGAGTCCGAGAACAAGTCGAGGTGAACTTCAGACTAGGGCTGAGGAACATGGATATTGCCCTACTGATACTTTCAGGAGTCATCAACGAGTTAGTCCTCGGATGGGACTTTTTGTCTGGCATGGGCACAGTTTTGGAGTGCCCAAGGTTGCAAGTAAGCATTCCAAAATACGAGATAAGCCATCAAGAGGAGATGTAGTGCGCTTGCCCAAGGTATTAAAATGTTACGCCTATGAGTATGCTTTGGTTTTTTTTTAAGCCGAGCTTTTGCCGACGCCCTCTATGAGGTAAAGTAGAATGTCAGGCGCTTTTTGGTTAGTTGGTTAAAAATTTTTCTGATAGCGGGGCTTAAGTTTGAAGGGCAGGTTTTTTTCTCTTGGTTTCGTGGTTATAGAAGAGTTACACGTGGACGCGATGGAAATCGTCCCTAACCTGGAATTTTGTTTTTCTCGCCTGAATTAATAATATAATTGCCACCGGCCAAAAAAAAAAAGTTCCCGGTGGGTACGTGCGTCAAACAAATAAAAAAAAAAAGAAACAAAAAAACTATTTCGTGGGGAAAAACATATTCCCAAATTGTTAATCGGCAATAACCGCCAGTGAAACCATTTACCATGACTTGCCATTGAACGAGAAAAAAAAAGGAAAGAAGAAAAACTCTGAATTAAATAAATATAATAAATATATGGTCACTAAATATATATGAATGCGATAACAAAACGCGATCCATTGGACTGCTGAAAAAAGAAGGAAAACATATATGTTTTTTTTGCCACGGAACTGATCGGCTGATCAGCCAGTGCCAACCGCCATTGCCAACGCGGGTCCACGGTACGTCGCCGAAGATCTTTTGGATGTGGAGGATACTCAAGTAAGTGCATCTGATCTCAAAATTTACCTTTCGCTTAAATTTTATTGTTGGTAAGCAGCAACAATACTTCGATATTAAAGTGTGTTAAAATGCGAAAAAACAGTGTAAAATTAGATGTGCAAAACTCACCCAAGTTGGGGAGGAGAAAGACATAGAAAAAAAACTCACTCAACGTTGATCGCCCTTACTCTGAGCGGCAGAATTTTGAGTGGGCTTTTGAGTTGTTAATCCAAACTAAATCACAGCCCGAAAGCATGCTACAACTTTAATATCGAAGTGGCTGCCAAAAAAAAAATATGAATGAAAAAGCACCGAAATAGAAATGAAGCATTCGGATACAAAAAAAAAAAACAAATAAATAAATATATAAATATATAAGGAAAGTAAATATAAATAAATAAAATATAAATAATATAATAAATATATATTCTTATTAATATTATGAAGAAAAAAAATCATAAAATTGAAGTAGTTTAAATATATCTGTAGCGAAATAATAAATGAAATAAAAGAAACAAGTTACAAAATTAAATACATTAATAATCTGGTTTTGCCCTTATACTCCGTATGTTTCGAGATTTTTTTTTTTGATTTCATTTTAATTTTTTTTCATTTTTTTATTTAATGTAAAGTTATAATTTTCAAATAATTTACAACATAAAAATATTACTTGTTACAAAATGAAAACTAAAATTGAAATAAATGAATATATGTATTAGAATATTGTTAAAATGAACAAGTAATTTTTTTTTCTTGGGAGTCATGCAACGCACACTGAACAGTGGATGAAATAATAAGGGATCATCAAATATTATTATGTTTAGGTGCCTGATGTTAAACGCACCAAAAACTAATCAGCCGCGCGTTTGCCCACAAAAAGGGCAACAACAATTTTGCACATGCGCCGTTGGTTACTCACCCACACTAGACAGATGCGTGTACACAAAGGGCACCGTTGGTTACTCACCAATATCAGTGCAGACGTGTGAGCATGCAAAACGAAAAGGGCAACAACAACTTGTGCAGCTGCAGAGAGATGTACATAATTAAATAGAGAGCACAAACACAAAAAGGGAGATAAAACGTCTGCTCTTGGAGATGCGTACCCGAAGGGCAAAAGAGAGCAATTACAACACTTTTGCCGGTGCGCAGGCGTGCGCCCGAAGTTCGACGTAAGCTCATCTCTTATACTAGTGCTTAGGCGTGTGCATTATAATTTTGAGAATGTGCACTAGAGCTTTGCGAGTGAGAATTCGGACATCGCGATCAAACACACCCACACGCACACGCACTCAGCTTCTTTGGAAAAAAAAAATCAAACGGCAAGCAGCATTAGGATGGCACAACAAATAACAAGCGTGGACGTCAGCGGGTCGGCATCAGGCCGCCGCCGAGCCTCGGACCCAAATCTCTTTGGCCGGCCCAGCGAAGCTGGTGTTCCGTGCGACGAGAGAGCCGGTCCGGGTGCGCGCGCGGCTACTGGTCGTCGCCCACATGGAAGAACAGTGCGCTTGGTGCGCGTGGTGCGCGTCGAGAGGCGCCGACTCCTGCGTCGCATCGGGCAGGAGCAGCGAAACCGCCGACTCGACGAGATCGAGCTGCTGGCGTCGCCGCTCCACGCCCCCAGCGTCGAGGGAGACTCATGGAGTGAACGCGACGAGGGAGAAATGGCATCACCGCCACACGCTCCCAGCATGGATGGGGATGTGGTTCCGGAAGCCGACGAGGAGGTACTGCCACGACGCCGACGTTACCCAAGTGATATGGACGAGCTCAATCCGGAGTGGATTCGTTGGCAGTACGGCATCCATAGTGAACCCCGACGACAAGGACACGATGCCGTTTCCGCCCGCGACACTGGAGCCGGACGTGATCGTCATTTCGGATGAGGAGGAGGACAAAGAGTGGCGCGAGGATGGAGGAGAGGCACAGGGGCAGGGCGAACGCCCACAAATCCCGCCACCCACCGTGACCGCCACCTATGCGAGGGCCTTCGCGGACGGCCGCTGGAGGCACCAGGTGACACTGGTGTGTGTCTGGGAGGAGGAGGCGGGATTGCCACCCACCTAGCAGCTGGAGGAAGAACAACCTCCCGCAGACCCCAACCCCTCGCAGCGACCACGGAGCCCAGCACCGCCCGCCGTGGGATCACCACCACCCCCGCCGCCGGAGTGGAGACCCCCATTCCTGCGCCAGGCGTCGTGCCCCGAGGCGGGACCCCGAGGCGGGACCCCGACCGACGCTCCAGCGACAAAGCTCGGCTCCGGAAGGAGAGGCTGGATGGCAGGAGGTGCCACCGTCGGCTTGGCCACCTGGCCGATGCCCAGCCAGGACCAAGTCGACGGGCGTCCAGGATCGTGTGGCAGGATGGGCACCGCTACCGGGTAAAGACGTCGATGCGAGGCACGCGCGTCTTCCGCAAGAAGTAGCGTCAAAATACCATTACAAAAATAGAATAATACAAAGATAAATCATAACAAAAATAAAATATAAATATAAAACATAGCCCCCAGCTATTGTCTCTGCTTGCATTTGCAGGCCTTTTTTCTCGTTTTGGGTTGGAAAGCGGAAGCTTTCCGCTGCCAAAAAAAGAGGGGAGTGTGAGGAGCCATAGAAGCATGCACTTGTGAGCAGGCATGTATGTGTATGTTTATGATTATAAATGTATGTATATGTATGTATGTTCAAGTATGAACATGTGTTGCTCTGGGTATCAGCTAGCGGGCTCATGGAGCACACTCAAGGTTAGGTACCTGAGGCCGGGTCACGCTATTCTTAGAATATCCCAAAAGATAGCGAGGGATGAAATTACACTGTGGTCGTCTTACAAGCGACTGCGTTAGATAAGGAAACATATGTATTTAGTTTTAAGATTTTTCAATAAAATAGGGTCTTGCTCGTCAGAGCAAGGCAGTCTGAATTTACAACTCAAGCTCGCGAGT